CAGAAGAGAAATCATATGTAAATCAACTTGTTCAGAATAAAATGAGGAGCAGGAGTAAAAAGATTAATTTAAATTGGAGAAGGATGAAGCGGTGGACAGGCAACCCCCAGCCCCTAGCAACACCCACCACCTTGCGTGTTTCCTTGCCCACCAGTACCTGCTAAACCACCGGGACTTGTCGGGGAATGTTGTGGTCCAATTTTTATGCCATTTGCCTAAATAAATTTACCATGTATATATCAGTGATAATCGCATAAAAATATGTCACTAATGTTTTATCATGTAATTTTCATTTTACCTCATTGTTTATGTCAAAGACACCTTCTTGAATTTTTTCATAAATAACTTTTGCGGTATTGATAAATGCTTCTTCTACATTGGTTGCTGTCTTTGCACTGGTTTCCATAAAAACAAGTCCATGCTCTCTTGCAAAGGCTTCACCTTCTTCTCTCCTGACTTCTCGTCTATTTTCTAGATCGCTTTTATTACCAATTAGCATGATCACCATATTAGAATTTGAATGCTGTCGTGCATCTTCTAACCAGGTTGTCAAATGACTAAATGTCTCTCTTCGTGTAATATCATATACTAACAGAGCTCCTGCTGCTCCACGGTAATATGAACGCGTTATAGAACGAAATGCCTCTTGACCTGCCTATAAATTAAAGAATTTAATTAACAGTTTCTTCTTTTAAATTTAAAATATAACATATACATTAATTCTATAATTCAAAGTATGTTATTACACATTATTGCAACAAATTAATAAATTGCATTAAATTTATAACTCCATTATTCCTTTTTATCAAGTATAGAATAAACATATTATTATTTTATGAAATATCCAAGTAAAGCATATATGGTATATTAATAATTACAGTATCCCAAATTTGGAGCTTGATTTGCTTTCCATCAATCATAATCATACGAGCACCAAACTCAACACCTATTGTTAAGTCGTGTACAGGCTGAAATCTCTTGTCCGTGAATTGAAGGAGAAGACATGATTTGCCAACCCCTAATTAAACAATTACACAATATTTTTATAATTCTTAAATAATGATAATTAATAAATTCTTACTATTAAATTATGTATATACACTATTATTAACTACATTAACAACATTTTCCATAAAAATCAACAAATAGATATATATATGTATATAACTTTTTGAAAAATAAATAACAATATAAAATTTAATATTAAAATAAGTAAATATCTGCCTACATCTGTCCGTTGAAACAATACTTGATGCTAAGAAAAAATTCAAGGATGAATTACAACACATACTAAATAATCATAGTAAACAATATGGTAATAACGTGTTGGTAATGGTATTTATAAAAAACCTAAATTATAATTTTCAATTATTCGCATTTTAATGAGATAATATTTATTCCATGTCGAAATACCACGCAAAATCTGTTATTAAGGTAGATAAACTAATACGACATTTTTCTTGTTACCAAATTGTGATAAAAGAGAAATCGTATATAATTGAAGTAATTTATTGAAAAACACATGATTTTTATCGATAAATATAGTGATGCTTGTATATCATTAATTCCAGTACTATTTTGCGATCTCCGAATGAAGGATATTATCGTAAAGAGAAACGAAAACAATGGGTCCTGTCACGGTCTACGTAGTATAGAATGTAGGTACCACTTTCACGACGTTTGCTGCTAAACAGTTTCCGCGTATTTACCTGTATCTCCAATTATGATGTATTTAAAAAGATACGCGTACGACATTTTCAAAAATCACGCAGCTATCGAAGATATTTATACGAACTGCGAATATATTAGAAAACAGAACTGCACTTTTTTGACTGTCTTATCTCTTCTGCTTCAGCATGACGTCACTAAATCGCTTCGGCAATTCTCGGGATATTTCGTATTATTCGTAATCAGTCCGGGTTTCCGATATCGCGCTGCCGTCGCTTCAGTCATCGACATGTTTCAGAAGTATTGGACGTATTCCAAAATCATGGCATTTTCAATCCCACAATAATATATATACTCTTGAAAAAAATTAATAATAATACAGGAGTTGATTCTTTATAAATATTTTCTCTGGCCAATGAGCTTGCATTCATGTTTAAACACTAAAATTACACTAGAAAATTGCGCACTAGAAAATTACATGTTATAAGCAAATATTACTAAACTTAATAGATACTTTTTCCTGATAACGTTTCGTTCGATGGCATGGAAAGTAATAATACTGGGGATACATAGAAAAACTTTATAACAAAATAAACGTATTGATAAATTTAAAAACCACTTTAAGGGTTGTATAATGTCAAATTCTTAGACTGAGATACGTAAATCGTATTATAGTTTTAATATTTTTTTGTATATATATAATATTATGTATTAAATATGAGTATTTAAAAATGATTATAACGAAACAAAAGACAATGGGAAACGAACTTTCAGTTTAGATGGTTATCGGTGAATAATACTGTTGGCCAATGAAATCTTTGTCCAACAAATAGACTATCCAATAGGGATGTAGAAATGAGCTCTGGTGGTAAGTAAAAGTAGTAAACAAGTGTACGGTGCGAATCGAGCTATCGTCGACGTCGAAGCTGTCAAACATGGCGAGAATGTCGATCTCGAGTGCTGGTCAAAAATGTGAATAGAGGTGTCGAGTTGTGGTGAGATTCGTGAATCTCGGGTGTTCTCGTCGTCGGCAGAGGCCGGCGAGAGATGCGATCGGGAGTTAGACTGTCAGGCCGAAAGTGAATGTGCCGAGTGAACGACCCCGGCAGTTTTGCGGCCGGGATTAATGTGAGGGCATGCCAATTCGGGAACTATGGGTGCTCAACAGACTAAGGAGAGAATCATTCCTGCCGGCTCTACCGCGCGACAGACGCGCAAACAGCCAAGAAACCTTAAAGAATCGCGACTAGTTGGCTCCAATATATTTACCGAACACAGCGGTAACTTCCTTTCCTTATTTTCATCCTACTCTTTCGCTTTTTATCTTCTGTTTCTTTCTTGCTTCCGCCCCTTTTTTCCGTTCTCTTTCTCTCGTACTTTCTTCCCTTCTCGCTCTGTTTCTGTCTTGTCTCGTTTTCTCTCTTTCTCCCTCTGTCTCTATTACACTCGCATATATTCTGGTTACTTTGAAACAAATCTTAAATATACAAGATTACGAATTATTTAAATGTTATGATAAAATACATTGAAAAATTACCAAGTTAAAAATAATGGCTTGGTTATGTAATTAATTGCACATATACGCCTATATCTCTGTGCATACACATATCCTTATTAAATTAATGATTAGTAGTTAACTTTTAATTGTTGGTGGAAAGTATACCAATTATGGGCGTAATTTAAATTGTAAATTAGTTTCCCACTCTTATAATTAATCTGTTTCTTATGGGAATTTATTTTTAATTCATGGTTGTTACTGTCACTTTATACATAATTGTTTTTATTTTTAAATCTAAATAAAATTTTTTTATTATGTATTTCACAAATGAGTGTTTGCTTTTTAATGAAAATTTAATGAAATTTTATTTTATAAAGTTGTATAATATAATATGTAACTGAACAATTGAATGATTTCAATAATGTAAGAGTGAATTGGAAAAATATATAGCATTACATGTATTTAATAATTCATATGATGTTATGCAGAAGCTCTTTTGCAAAGCAGACCGCTACCTCACATTCCGGCATTACCAGATGGTGATCCTCCAAGCGGTTCCGGCATTCAGCCAATTTCACAGCAAGTAAATATACAACAACATACAGGTGTTCCTTCAACAGGGCTTTTGGAAGCTGCAAACAGGTTAATTTTTGATGACATTGTTAATTTTAATTTTTGTTTTATTATCTTTTTACAATATTTTGTAGATGTATATTGCATTAATGTGAATATTCCTCTTTAATAGCATGAAACAAGACATTATATTTTAAAGTAAAATATACACATGAAAATTTATTTATTCTTGAATAATTATTGCCATATTTTTTACTTCTTAAAACATATAAAGAAAAATGTAAAAGAATCTTAAAATAATTGTCACAGGTGGACCAGTAAGGAAAACCTTTTAGCTCAAGAGGAAGATGATCCACAGTTATTCGTTGCTCTCTATGATTTTCAAGCGGGAGGGGAGAACCAACTCAGTCTTAAAAAAGGTGATCCTGATAATCACATATAAAAACTATAGAAATTAGACATTTGTTTTGTTAAGCTTCTTAGTATCACTGCATTTTTAACATGAGTGTTAAATTGTGCATTCAGAAAAAGTTTATTTGAACAAATAAAGTTTTATTACACATAAAATGATTTAAAAAGGTACAAACATATATCTTCTATATTAAAAAGTCAGTAATATTATAAAACATGTATACTTATATTTAGGAGAACAAGTTCGTATTCTGAGTTACAATAAGAGTGGTGAATGGTGTGAAGCTCATTCAAGTACTGGTCAAGTAGGCTGGGTTCCTTCGAATTATGTTACCCCAGTAAATTCTCTGGAAAAACATTCTTGGTATCATGGAAGAATATCCAGAAATGCTGCTGAATATTTGTTAAGTTCTGGGATAAATGGTAGCTTTTTGGTTCGTGAATCAGAAAGCAGCCCAGGTCAACGTAGTATTTCTCTACGATATGAGGGAAGAGTCTATCATTATAGGATTAACGAAGATAGCGAAGGAAAGGTATTGTCCTTATTGATATTTTAATGTATTTAAAGGATATTTAAACATGACACAAAAAAATATTATTGTTTTAGATGTATGTCACTACCGAAAGCAAATTTAATACTTTGGCAGAACTTGTACATCATCATTCAATGCTTGCCGATGGTTTAATTACACAACTACTTTATCCTGCACCAAAGCACAATAAACCCACTGTTTTTCCACTCAGTCCAGGTACGTTGGAAAGTGTAAAAAATTTGTAGATCTTATACAGTAAAAATTTTGAAATTTTGTTTTCTGGTAATGGAATGTCATATTATAGAACCGGATGAATGGGAAATCAATAGAACAGATATAGTCATGAGACATAAGTTAGGAGGGGGACAATATGGGGATGTCTATGAAGCAGTTTGGAAGAGGTATAATATGACTGTTGCTGTGAAGACCTTAAAGGTCAGTTTTTGTTTATTACTGCATATAGAATTTGTATAACCTTATCAATTCTGAAAAAAAATTTTACTTATACTGTAGGAGGATACAATGGCTTTAAAAGACTTCTTAGAGGAAGCTGCAATCATGAAGGAGATGAAGCACAGGAATCTAGTTCAGTTAATAGGTGTATGTACTCGAGAGCCGCCTTTTTACATCATTACTGAATTTATGAGTAAGGGGAACCTGCTAGACTATTTACGGAACGAGAGCAAACATCAAATCAACGCAGTTGTTCTGATGCATATGGCAACACAAATCGCTAGTGGAATGAGTTATCTAGAAAGCAGAAATTTTATCCACAGGTATAATGTTTAAAAATCTTGCAGAACCTGCTGTTCCTACACTTGCTTATTTCTACAGTTTACTATGGAAATATTTAATCGTACTTATTTCAGAATTTGCAGTGATTAAAATTTACTGGGGGTATCTTAGAAAATTTTTTTCACAAAGGAAGTACTAGAAAGCTCCAACAAGTAAAGTATATAAAATGCAATGCTCATTTTTTCACATAATACACGTCAAAAGTCGATGATTAATTTTCAGTAAAATTCAATGAAAATGTTTAATATATATATTTGTATAAATATATAATATTGGTGTATATATTTATACAAATATATATATATATTCAATAAAGTATTAAGACAGATATATACTTTGCCTAAAAGTAATGGTTACAGATTTTTATTTACAAATAGTTGTTTTTAAAAAACGATTTATAGCCATCAGAATCTTTGGAGAAAAGCAATAACAGATTACAGTTGCGATATTATCACACACATTTCGCTCGAGAAAAAAGTATATTTAACTAGAAGAAGTGTTTAAAAAATTGTATCGCCTTCTTTTTTAAAAAACAAATTTTTCTAATGCAGCGATTTTTGAAACAGAGATCTAGCTGCTCGGAACTGCCTAGTGGGTGAAAATCATCTGGTGAAGGTTGCTGACTTCGGTTTGGCTCGTTTAATGAGGGATGATACATATACTGCTCACGCTGGGGCTAAGTTCCCTATAAAATGGACTGCTCCAGAGGGATTAGCTTACAATAAATTTTCTACAAAGGTAACGCCACATTTTGTTCATTTCTATTTTAAAAAAAAATTTTTAATTCTTTTACGTTTTGGTATTAATTATAGTCTGATGTATGGGCATTCGGAATCTTACTGTGGGAGATAGCAACCTATGGTATGTCTCCATATCCTGGCGTTGATTTGGCAGATGTCTATCACATGCTAGAAAAAGGATATAGAATGGAGTGTCCTCCTGGATGTCCGCCGAAAGTTTATGAATTAATGCGTCAGTGTTGGCAATGGTCAGCTGCTGACCGGCCTACATTTAAAGAGATTCATCACTCTTTAGAAAATATGTTTCAAGAATCGAGTATTACCGAAGGTAAAGTGATCATATAATATGATATATAATAAGTATAATGTTGAAATAATGTGTCCAAGAAAATTTTAATAGAGTCATTTTACAATGCTGTTTAAACGGTGCTCTTTAAATGTATGTAAAAATATATTATTACAGAAGTTGAAAAGCAGCTTCAAGGTGGAGGAGAAATCCCTTTACTATCATATAAGAAATCTCAAACTGGTAGTACTGGAAATATTCATGGGCTTGTTCTTGTCTCTGAACCATTACCTTCTTCAGGTACACATGTAGGAAATTTGTAGGATATTATTATTTTACAACTATATTTTACTTCGTTATTTATTGAAAATAATTTGTAATTTTAATAGTAAACATAGTAATTCTTTTATTAATTTTTGTGTAGAAACTACTAGTTCTGTAACGAAACTGAGTACATTCACGGGTGGTCTGACGAGTAAAAACAATAGCAGCATGGTGCAGATGAGGCGTTCTACGAATAAAAAGGGAAAACAAGCTCCAGCGCCGCCCAAAAGAACCAGGTGCGTTTCTTTGTTCTCGATGCGATGAAATCTCGATTATATAATTCCATATAGTTCTTTTAAGTTCATTTCAGAGATCAAATAATTTAACATTGAGTAATTTATTACAAGCATTGTTTTTCACCTAATCGAGATTTCAATTAATAGAAGCACGATAAATGTTGATCACACATTGATACACAACAATAATTGGATAACAGCCTGCTGTCGTCGTGCAGTTCCTTCCGCGACTCCGCCTACCAAGAACAAGATACTCAAAATACAGAATCGAACACCATGATACTTGACGACGCCACGGATCTAAATGGTATTGATAAGATTCTCGAAGGTATTTTCATTCTACTTTAATCGAGCGTACTGATACGTGCACGTACTGCTTCAGTTTCCTGCCGTAAGCTCTGAACTCAGCTTGATGCTAGATTTCTTCTGCATCTATATCTTTCTCCCTATACTGACGTGTATTGGACTCGAATGATACGATGAATTATAAAAATCATAAGACTGAATATATTTTAGTATTTTCATTATTTATTTTCTTACTAATTTGTCTTGATTAAACCAACAAATATTTCCATGGAGATTAATGAAATACTAATACAAAGGACATCTAATATTTATCAAGAAAGACCTATTTTTAGTTTTCATGAAATATTATTTACATTTCGTTACTCGAGCTTACGGAGCATGTTCGCTCTCAGCGAAAGGACTCTAAGCAGAAAGAGAATATGTACCGGTACGGTTTGTTGTTAAATGGGAACTCAGGTATTGCGAGAGATCTCGCGACGATGGCTCAAGGAACGATTGCTGCAGGAGGCTGCGAAATCGAGGAGGATGGAGAGGGTTCTCAGGGTACGGCGGAACCAAACTTCATGTCCCAACCTTCGACGTCTCCGGAACCTATACCAGGACTAGCTTGTTCTCAAAAACAGATAAAGTCAAGACCTTATCCATCAAAAGAACCATTACCACCAAAGGTACGTTTATAAATAAAGGCTTTAAACTGTTTCTTTCTTCAAATAATTTAAACCTATACGTATTACTTTTTTATAGGTGGTACAAGTAGGAGCACTAGAAGTACAGAACGTAAAACGGGCTATTAATCGTTACGGTACACTGCCGAAAGGTGCTAGAATTGGCGCATTTCTTGAATCTATACGTCAAAGCAGCATGCCTTCGAATCAAGAATCAACTGCAGTAACATCCACCATGACACCCGGATCGGTAGAACAACATGAAGCTTCTATCGACAGTTCTCAACATAGATCACTCTCACCTCGTCAAAGCAATCTAAGGAGTCAACCTCAAATGACCCGCAGCAATTCTTCAAGCGGCGTTGTCAATACTTACCAGCCTCCGAATTCTCCTCGTGGCCGAGTAGTAGCTGTGAGAAAGAATAACCAATCCGATGGTGTTGGTCTAAGAACATTTCGGGTCTCAAGCAACTCCAATTTTCGTACTGCAAGTCCCTCGCGGTCTGTTCAACCGTCGTTAGCCGATTTAGAATTTCCTCCTCCACCCGCTGATCTGCCCCCTCCTCCGGACGAAGCCTTCTCTACTCCGGAACAGGTTGATCTTCCGCCTCCTATTTCTTGCGCAGAAATCTCTCAAGTAAGAAATTCTCCTCTCTCTATACGAAAGGCTAAGAGCACTGATTGGCGAACGAAGGAGGATGACAATGAACAACAGGAAGATAGAAATGATGTTAGTAATGCAGAGCCTTCTGTTAAAGAAGCCAGTTCAAGATTCGGCGTTAATTTGAGACGCAGAGAAACTCAGGACAGCGTATCTAGGTCTTCTGATAACAAAAGGACGGGGTTTAAATCCAGAATAGAAACGATCGAACCTGCTGCGCCACCAGAAGAAGCACCGCCTCCTCCTCCACCGCCACCACCTCCGGTATCGACGAATACACCTCCCGATAGTTTCGAACGTAAACCCGGCATGAAAGAGATGCTAGAACTGAAACTGATCAATGAAATTAAACAGAGTGCAGAGACGAAACATGGTACGACTACAAAGAAATCTGGACTCACGAGCAGTACACCATCTGCACCGTTGGATCCAGCATCGCAGTTACTTTCGGAACTCTGTGCTAGTTTTAATATGGATTCTGGCCAGAGGTAATTAAAGTTAAAAGGTTCTGTTTTGCAACGCATTTAATTGCGAAGGGCTATTAAGTTTTGAATACTTAAATATTATATTCATAAGTACTGTTTGTAATAATATTATGTTCAAATTTAGATTTAATGTTACTTTATTTTTTATTGTCACACTAGACACGCCCAAAACGAATATGCTGTATCAACTCTGAAAACTAATGAGGCGATTCAAGATCAACAGCAACAAACTCATAACATTTATAAGGACTCGTCGATATCGTCTCCAGTGACTGAATCTATTCTCTCTAGTGGAAACGTTGGGTTTAAATTGAAAAGAGTAGATAAACGAAGCAATCCGCAAAAGGAAGAGACATCCGATGGACAAATAATTGATTTCAAGGCCAGATTGCGAAAAGTTGAAAATGCCGAGAAAGAGAAACCTACGGAGGAAAGGAGTAATCTTACCGAACAGTCTTCAGAATCGGAAGAACAACAAGACGATAAACGCAGAAGTACTGGTAGTATTAGTAGTTTGAAAAAACTTTGGGAAAACAAAGAGTCTTGCGATAGCCAGCCACATAGCCCAAAGCTTAGTGTTCGAGGAAGCGGTGGTAAATCAGAGACACTTGACCAAACAGAAGATTCGCCAGAAGATCATAGCGGAGCTTCAACCCGCAGTCAGAGGTACATAACTCTTTTCCTTTTACATGTATCATGTAACATGTAGATCTTTGACTCATCTTGGTTTATAATCTATATGTTTTTAAATGAATGTTGTAAGTTGTATAATATAATCATATTTATTTATAGTTCTGGTAGCAAAAGTGATACTAGATTATGGCCTCCACCTGAGCCAGAAAAGCCTGTTGTTCCAGCAAAACCACTGAAACCTCTTTGTTCATCGACAAAACATTTCTGCTCATCAATATACGCGACACCGAACTGCACGAAATCTCAACATACGGAGGATGATCTAAGCAAGCAGAATACGGATTCAAGAACCGCTAAACAGGCTGTATTAGAGCTTTCGACATTAATTGAAAGCAGTGTGCTAAATCTAAAAAGTAATTCGACGTTAGTAATGACCAGCTGGATTCAACTCTCTGACAAGGTAGGGCTTTTGCACGGTATGTGCACGAACCTCGCGGACAGTGGCATCGCCCCGCATGCCCGGTTTCAATTTCGTGAGCTGTTAACCAGGTTAGAGCTTCAGGCACGACAGCTTCGCGCTGCAGGTACACGAAATGTCGCAGAGAATACGAGACTCCTCACTGACTTGCAAAACACAATAAAAGATGTGGTCAATGCCGTGCAAAGATAAACCGGGGAGTTTGACAACTGTTTTCTCCATCCATCTCCACCCTTGTTCTCGTCTTCATTTCTGTTAACCAGAGTTTGAAATATTCGCGAGTTCAAGCTCGATCGAACATGTTTTAAGGACTTCTTCAAAGATCTTTTATTTCGTGTTTTCCCTTCCCATGCTGAGTATTATATTTCCCTGAAGTTTGTTATCCCATTTTATTTGGGATTCCTTTAGCATGTTTCTTTTGTGTCGAACTTGAAAGTTCGTTTGCAATACTTTCCCTGGAGATGACTCGATCGGAGTCTGAATTATGATTATGGAGAGCACACGAAGCCGAGAATGCTTGAAAGCAAGGCCTCAAGCCGAAACACGGCCTCAGTTAAGATATCGGTTTGATGGAAAAGTAATAAGAAAGAATGAATTTAAAGATGTAATACTAAATTGTCGAAGAAAAATATATTCCATCGATATTCATTTCTTGTTATAGACTGCGATTAGTCATTTTCGTTCGAATTTAGAAATATTTTTAGTATTCGGTTGATATCAAGAAAGAGGCCCGTATAGCGCGCAAAATGTAATTCACTGATATTTTTTATTATTGAGTTTTCAAATGAATAAATGATAATTCTTAAAAACGACATGAGTGTAGGCGTACGATAAATATATAAGGATCAGACGTACTGGTTCTTAAAATTTTTTTAATAATAGTTTTAAACTTGTAGTGGAAGGACGAGCAATCGCAGTTCATTAAAACAAAAAATAAAAAGGATAGGTAACGCGTATGTGTAGTAAGAATAACAGCAAGATGTACTTTTTGTATACTAAATACTTTTGATTTTTCGGAATATACGTTATTACTTTTACGTCGATCCAATATTTAATCTGCATAAATGAAGTTGTACGTGAATTATACACTCGTCCGCTATACGATAAATGTGGTGATTATAGTTGTCGAGTAAAACGTCTCGGTGTTCTTTCATCGAACTTTCTTACGCCGTGCTTCGTAATATCGTACGCAGTCTTAGGCTAGATTATAAATCATAAGTGCGAAACTTTTAAGCGAGTAAGCCATTTTAATGCGTGAGAGGATGTAACAATTTTTGTATTTGTATAGAATAAGTCGAATAACAGGTATGCTTAAACAGTACAGTAAAACCTCGATCACGCAAACTAATCAGAGAAATATCGTCAAGTTGATGGACTTCTCGATTAATCAAACGCAATTTTCAATCTCATTGTAATTATATTTTATTCACTATCTACTTCATGCTGTATTATAAAAGCAGATTATGTCATTACTCATATCACAGTTTCTGATTTTATTTTTTGACGCAGTAATCGTATAAGTGCGTATAACATTAAAGACTATTTGCATTATAATAGAACTTATCAAAGTAAAATATTTAATGCTCGTCAGCCCAATGTAATCATCATAATACGATCCAATTCGTATTTGAGTAATCGAAAGTTCGATCAAATGTTTGAATAATCAAAAATCGAGTTTATTATACGGTCAAATAAAGTCGAAGTTCTACTGTACATTACATATATAAATCAGCGGGTGTAATTAATCAAATTTTGAAGCATTTTATTTTGTCTACGTTATCACGTAGACGTTCTTCCAGAAAACGTTGACGGAAACCCGACTCCGGATACTTCTTGAAGAACCTGAACAAAATTCTTTATTCACTTACATTCTTCTTTACTCATCGTTCACTTTCAGCAATAATATAATTGTGTTCATTAATTTTAAAAATGAAATATTTGTGCAGATTATCTGTAATATAATTTTATTTCTTCGAGTTTAAATTATTTCAACGAGTTTAAGCAAGTGTTTGAAACATTTCGAACTACTAGTGTAATAAGTGTTGTTTTTGCATTTTCTTATTATAGTCTTCCATAGATAGCTTCCGGAGTCTTCATTTCTTTTATTCCGCCACGTAAAAATAAGAAATACGCAACGATAATGAAATGCCACCCTATTCACAAGCAGTTTTTCCTTATAACACTGCCTACGTTATGGCTACTAGAATACATCGATCGACAATGCTAATTATGCGAACCGGACATTTTCCTCTTTTCGGTCCGATTACTCGATTTCTGTTGCATCGTTTGTACCTGTGATACACCGATCGACTTGTCTGTTATCTTCAAAGAAAAAGAGAGAAAAAGAGGGAGAGAGAGGATGGGAGGAGAAGAAAAACCTGAGCGATCGTATGAACGAATCTTTGCGAAATGAGAAGTCCTAGGTGTATAGATTTTTAAGTGGGATTTTATTCAATTTCTAGTTAATCATGTAAAAGTACTCAAAGAAATATTATCTGTAAATACGTAATTATTTTCAAGAAATCACACATAATATCGTATGATTAATATCCATGTACAACATTTTAAAGCATCATTAGCCTAATTATATATCATTTTTTTAATACTACTTCTGATTCTTATTGAATCGAGAATCGTGTATTACAAAGACTGTTTTATCTATTATAGGCAGGTGTCTAACTGTGAATTTTGTTAATCTAAAAATTGCATGTTGTATGTAACTATAAAATCTTGTTTAATTATTTTAGGGATTAAGAATATTTACAAATATAAATTAGAATGGTATTAATATAAATAGGAAACATGATGTGTGATTTCTTCAAAATTTAAGTAATTATAGGCAATATTTGTAAAATTTATAAAGGAATGTCATGAACTATAGATTGATGGATGTTTCATTCAAAAAGCTTTATACCTAGAATTTCTCAGAATTTTATTAATCAGTGGATGTTTAAGTTGATGAGCCATCAAAGGATATGAAATCGATGTTTTATACAATATGTATCATAGTAACATTTATGTCTAAGTATTTATATCTATATTTATTTTTAGTTCTTTCTCGTGTAAAGTTATTCCTAAATGATCGACCAACGTACTGATTCACTAATACGGAAATTTTAATATCGCTTTATACATTGATATAAGACCGACGATAGAAATAAAAAGGAATATTGAATCAAATAGTTCTTTGAGAAAATGGAGTATATACTTATTATTTGAGATTTTAATTCACATTGTCTGGCACTTCTTGCACTCGAAAACAGTCACTTACAATTTTCCACTTATCTCCCATTGCTGTTATAAGAAAGCTTTGATTGAATGGTTTTGATGTCTTATCATCGTATTTTACTTGTCCACCAACCTTTACAAGGAATGTCAGCTGATTTGCCACTTCAGGACCTATAAACGCATATATTAATATACCTTGTAACATTTATTCAACCAACAATGCATTGTTGTATACTAGTATCAAAATTCACCTGTTATTGGCTGAGCATCTAACGTAAATACATTATGATCAGAAGGTGGCAAATCTGTCCAAAATTTTTGTATATTATCTTTGCCATCAATACCATTTCCATTCCAAATTAAAGTTGCAGTATCCAGATATAACCTTGATATCAGCTAAAAATGCTTCCAAGTTACTTATTGCAAACCCATTTTATTTACTTAATTTATTAATATTCATGAGACTTAGACATTTCTCGAAATACACATAGTTCGTAGATTTTCTATTATTTCCCAATTAATAATATATTTTACACACATATGTAATGATAAATTTACTTTTCCAAAATAATAAATTCAAGCATTATTTGATATTAAAGAACTTACATATCTACGTTTGTCTAAACTTTCATAATAAAGCTTTGTAAATTCCTCAGCTGTTCGACAAGCTTGATCAATCTTACTCTTCAAATCCTATAAACCCATAAAGATCAATTATTCTAAAAAATTATTATTCACAATAGACAAAATAATAGTTTTTGAAGTACCTGTTCCATATTTCATAACTATTAATTAAACCACTTCTATAGAAGTTCAATGTTTTGTTTAGTGTGTTGTTACAAAAATTGAAAACATAACCTCTGCAAAAGAAACAAATTTATTATAATTAAACTACAACAATAGGTATTACAGTTTTTTATTAAGAGATCATCTACTTTGAAGTAAATAAAATTTGCGATGCAAGTTATTTTTGTACCTTTTAATAAAGTTACAAGAATATTACATTTTTTCACTGAAGAAGCGTACCTGTTATGACTGCATTAACCTTTCTTTTTCGAATATATAATAAATTAAAAATATTATTATGAATGTTTTTCCACATTGAAAGCATTAAAAATTTAAAGCGAAGTATTGTTAATTTTCTTTTACATTATGCAGTAGGATAACAAATAATAATAAATATTTATTCATGTGTGGTTATATTCTGCACGACTATAGAAATTCTACAAAACATGAAAATCTGTACAAAATTTTGAAATCACATGTATATTGACGGCAAGTTTTATAAATTGTCGATTAAAAACTACATACTTAAGTACTTAGACAATAATTAAACAAATCAAATGTTTTTTTTTAAAGAAATTAAAATAAGTGTACTATCAATAATTATACAAGTTTTAAACTTAATAAAATAAATACTTTATAAAAATATTTATTACTGAAAATTTAAAATTCATTCTTCAAATTTATAAAACATGTTACAACAAGAGTTTCCAAATTGGTGCCCGCGGGCGCTCTAGTAACATTCCCCTCACGAAAAGTTACCCCCTCCATATTTATTTTCACTTGTTTGTTGAATACAGGTACATAGAAACTGCTCAGATGACAACTTGGGGAGCTCCTTGAGTAAAGGTAGTGGAAGAACGTTGTTCCGAATTACTAGCACGAGGGGAGTAGGTTAGACACCTTTGTTTTACAAGAATGATACTCTATAAGTTTTGCTATTTATGCTTAAGTAGTACAGCTAGTCCACACGAGAGGCCATAAGCAACAGATGCGAGTCAAGTTCAGAAGTTACTAATGCTTACAATTATTTCGTGATTTAATAAGAACTATGTTCAGTGTTTTAATGAAAATCCTAGATCTTGCTAGTTACCTTTCGTAAAAATCGTATTCTAGTAATAATTATAGTAATCCTAGTAATTTTCTCAATTTTCTTTTTTCTATTTCTTAGTTCTAATACATAAGACAAACATGATAGAACGAAGCAAAAGAGAATAAATAAGTTTCGTATTTGCTGTATTTTAAGAAATATTACAGTTGCGTATTACAATATAAATTACAAAAATAATTACAAAAAGGATTACTTATATGGATAAACTATTGTTTCTGTTACTATCTTATGAAATGCAGATATCTGAAAGACGAATTTTATTACGTGTACGCATATAGTGAAATTGCCAGAGGTTTTTATTCTGCTCCGTTTCCAGAGCAGCTGGTAGCTCGCAGATAAGAGCGATCGCAAGATCTCACCGTGTTCTCGCGGGGTCACGTGACTCCGCGCTCAGACAGTTATTTTTTTAGGCATGATGGCGCCAAACAGCAGTATCCACATTAATGTAAATATAATATCGATTCGGTGCACCGCGCGAGGAAGAAAGCCATCGGGTGTCCTTACGGAGGCTATTTGAGGGCGTCGAGTGAGCTCAGCAGGAGCCCTCGGCCCACGAAGTGAGTAAAACCGAGCTAGTCGCGGCTGCGACTCGAATTGCTAATGAGGACATCTTGGTTAGGCTGCCGTGACAGAGGCGTACTCGGACTACTGCCATCTCGGAGCTACCGATCGAAGAATAATTCGATCTTTCACGATCAGACGTACCGGCTATTATTCGTCACGTGCATCATCGCGCGCGAAATCACCCTCTCCGTCGATAGATCAATAATAAGGCATTTACTGCCTTCCGACCATCTCTATCTTTTTCTCTCTCTCTTACGTTCTGGTTCTCTCTTGCGCGCGCGTGCGTGTTCATGTTTGCGTGTGCGTGTCGAACTTGTGCTCGCGTGTTCGTGTCCGTACCGTGCGCCTGTGTTGTATCCACATTCGTGCGTACCTGTGTATTCACGTCGCGTGTGCGTATTTACTTACACTCGTGTGCATGTGCATTCGAATTCACATACGTGTGCGTTCAGATGTGTATACCTGAGTGCCAAGATTCGTGTGCGAGTCGAGCCTGTCGCCATCTGTATTGTCAATGTTGTCGGCCAGCAGGAGCACCACCAGCCCAATGGACCCGTGAGCATTTTCGACTCTCCGCCCGATCTTCTTCTAAACGTCTATTCTCGACCGCGAATCTCGACTTCCACGTGTCGAGTCATCGAAAGTCTTACGGCGATCCTTCACGGTCGAGCCTCGGCGCCGCTCGAGCGTCGCCGCGGAGTAACTCCGTCGCAATGTTTACATGCCACCCGCCACGGCGACCAGTTTCTCGAAGATCCTTGTGCTTTTGCAACTGCTCGGGGCCTTATAGCGTTACGGATAAACGATTTCGTTCGAATTATAACTCTTCCTGCTGGACTGCCCCATTTATAACCTCTCCGCGGCGGCCATCGAGGATCAACGGCCGCAGACCCCCTGCAATACAATCGGTTCATACCATCAGCCCTATTGTCCAATTTTTATGCTCTCAAACAACTTTTACGTTGTTAGAAATCATATATGATATACTTTATTGTGCGCCAGTTTTTTGAATTGTGAATCTGTGCTACTAAATACCTCTCGGTCAGAGTGGTATCTTTGTAGATTTACTTTGCGAAGGAATGCTTTGTGTCTTGCACTTGTGATCACTGTGAAGTATCAGTTGTTATGTATATTTTAGTTTTCTCTATTGTGCGGTAGTATTTCCAATTAGATTTAAACATCTTGCTTCAAAGTGAATTATATGAAGTGGATTTGATCGAGTAGTTACAGTCCACTCTTTTTTTCTATGCGTTCAATGCTATACAGCATTGTTTTGTTTACATTCTTTTTCATTGCTTAGATTTGCCATTTTTTAATTGTTTTTGTATAAATGATTATTGATTTTCATTTATTTGATATAATACAAGAATTGTTAATTGTATACATTGTTTTGCCTTCAGTTTGTAGTTGACTTATAATTATACGTTATTCTGTTATATCGTAGCATGAAAACTTCATTCTCTAATCTTTTTATTGAAATAATATAATATATACCAAATACATTTTCATTTTTAAAAAGTATCATTTTTATACAGAAACTCACAATTAGTGCCAAGACCAGTCGTTTGTTTCTATGAATAAGCTTTA